AGGGAAATAAAAAAAGTATACACAGGAGTTAACGAGATCACGTAACCTCTGTTTTGGCTGATGTATTGACCATGTACTCAATCAGGTACATAGTTACATAGCATGAACGTTTAAAGGAAAGAGAATTCTTTCAATTTCTGGACGAAGACGACAATAGCATTTTGTTCAAAAACCAATTTCCTTTTAACCCGAATAGGGTACCGCCATCTAGCGGCAATCATTCGCGACAGGAAGTATTACGTCACAGCGAGTCCCAAACTGTGGCAATTTGGCGTCCCTTTGATGTCACTGCCGACCACTTCGTCTGTCACCTCTGTGCAATACCGCGAAACGCAGGCACAAAGAGATTAAAAAGAAATATTTATAGAAAAGATTTCAAACCAAACAACGGTTACTACATATATGTTACTTATTTTAAATTATAAATAATGTATCAATACCAAAAGATACAAGACTTATATAGTCTACAAGTGATAAGAAGTTTTACTGTAATAACATTTCATTCTTAATTTTGGTATAAAATGCTTAGGTTCATAATGAAAATTAAAAAATATATGTAAAAGTGAGTACCTATGTCAAAATATCCTGTGTCGCTGGGGCCTTTACAAACATTCATAAAGCGGACACAAAGAACACCCAGACTCAGAACAACAATTTTTGGATTACACAAAGTGTTGTCGGAAAGGGGATCGAACCCACAACACTCAGCGCAGTAAGGAGTGGCGAGGTGACCGGATACACTGCTACGCCATCCCTGCAGTCGATTGAGTGCAATCAATTCCTTCCTCACTCCATGGGAATAAAGCCTATGTGTCAATTAAGGGTGTCAGCTACCTTCATACTAAATTGTATCAAAATTGGCGAAGGTATTATTTAACATTATTATGTACATACTAAAAAAACTCATCCTTTTTGAAGTAAGAATAAAAAAAACACAAATTTATCCTATTACTCATCAATCATCAAAGGGTTTTATGTTATATAAACTGATCCATATAATTGGGACAGGTGATTTCATTTCCTGAGAGAATAAAAATGGACCAAAAACAATTAATCAGAAAGAGTAGACACACATGTTACGTAGTCAAACTCATCCATCATAATAAAATAAACAAAATGAAGAAAGTATTAATGTATATCGTCAGCTAATTAAATATCAACCTTCAATCAACACAACAGAGTTTAAAACTAGATTTATAACAAAACACTTTTAAAACATTTTGAATATCTTCCCAGACGTATTTAGAATTGAGTGAATGAGTGAGTTAAATGAAGTCGTTTTAAAACAAGCGTTGATTAGGCGCTCAGCTCAATTTCACATTGTGAATGAACTAATTTGAATGAAAATGTCGCGAAGATTTAAACTTAGAACTCATTAAAATGGAACAGCTATGTAGATTATGTTCTTGAAGATTAATGAACGTTACTTTACTAAATGCAGCACATATTAAGCTAAGTATGCGAATCGTAGGAATTCTTTTTTATACAATATAAGCGCTGTAATCAAGCATGCGATTGACGCGAAAATGAGAAAACACAATGAATATTCGTAAAAGAATAACAAGATTCCAAATTTTAATTCAAATGTAATATTATGGTATTTTTAATTGTTGCAGTATTTATGGTCAGTTAAGTATTACTATTAATGCGTCCGGTAGTGTAATAACAGCAGTTCCAGGATCTCTCCTACAGCCGCAGAGTGTGGTTTTGGTCGGTTCGATTCCGACAAACCACACCGCTGCAAATAACGGTGGAGTGTCGGCCCGAGGGAGTTTTAGTATTACTGTTAATAATCTAAGTTTCGCGTTTTTATACTTAAATCTATTAAGTTTTGAAATTTAGGACCGCGCCTATCTCTTGTCACTCAGTGTCCCACTTGGTCGACCTCCCCCTCTTAACCTTTAATGGCCCTTGAGCAACATCCTTTCATTGCCTTCCCTTCATGCCTACCGATGGCTAACAATATCAATTTTGTCTACATTTTTATGAAGTTCCCGACTGACAGCAATATGCCTGGGGCTTTGACGACATAGCACCATATTTTATGCTTGAGATAAATTGATAATTCAATATTACTCAGCTAATGATAACACATAATAATATACAATTAATTATAATAAGTTTTACCTTTCAACATACATCAAAATAATTAACATGTTAAGAAAATAATATAATTACAGCGTTAAGCGTACAGATTGAGTATTAATTAGAAGAAACAGGTAATTATTTATAACTGGCTTTTGCCCGCGGCTCCCTTCGCGTGTATGTCGGGTATCGCGGTAAAAAGTATGCTGTTTGTGGAAAAACGGTTGTCATCTATACAAATAAATAAAATTGGAGTGTCTCTTTGTAATATTAAAATAATCGCTGTTTACTAAATGCATATGTATGTTTACACGGTACATATGCCTAAATAACATTTTTTACAATTTTTGTTTGTCTGTCTGTCTGTCTGTTTGTTCCGGGTAATCTCTGGAACGGCTAGACCGATTTCGACGGGACTTTCACTGGCAGATAGCTGATGACATAAGGAGTAACTTAGGCTACTTTTTTAGACTAGCTCGCCCCGCGGCGTTGCCCACGGTTATAACAACAAACGCGGTTAACACCGCGGGTCTCAGCTAGTGACTAATACAAAGGGAGGATCCTTCGAAAAGGCGAGTTTATCATGTGTTCAGGCCGCGGCGCCACGGTTGATGTTGGGAAGTTGTACATATGCTAATCCAGGTGAGAATTCTTCATTCGGCGATACAGGATCAGTAGCTACTCCGTAATTCGGTGTGTCATCGATAGATGGCGCTGTAGTATGTTTAGTCATTTCATCCTATGTGGAAGTCGTTACACTCTTTCTGAAGCTAAAGTAATGAATGGTAACGCCTATGTATGTCCTTTCTTAAGAATCAAACTGTCTCCATTCCAAATTTAATCTGAATTTGTTCAGCGGTTATTAATTCCCTATAAAAAAATCCCCCCATTTCACCCTCTTAAAGGGTTTCTGGGATGAAAACTATCGTATGTCCTTTCCCTGGGCTTAAACTATGTCTAAACCAAATATCAGATAAATCAAAGTTTAAGCGTGAAGAGGTAATAGACAGACACACTTTCGAATTTATAATATTAGTATTAGAATTGAACATGCAATGCTATCATTCATTCAATGGTATAAATAAAGAAAAGATAATTATTCATTTATTTTAGAGTTTCTACTGAAAAGTAGAAGAAATTAATTCGTGAGTCACGCGATTGAAAACACCCATCAGAAAATATATCGTAATCGTACAGTTTTGTCAGCTTATTAACCAATCAGCTGTCTTGTTTATCTTGTCTTTGATTGGCGCGAAAAGAGAAAAAACAATTTGGTTTAGATAAGTGATTGTTACAAAAGATTCAAGTTCTTTCTTCATTATGCTCTTCTGAAGGCAAAAATGTTAAACTTTACGCTAACTATAAATAATATTTTCACCCAAAATATTAAGTACTCTGTCGAACCATGACATTGCACAGTCACGTGATCATACGTGACGCGACGTCTTCGTTGACAAATTTTTATTTAAATATAATAATATATTTTTATTTGATTTAAGGGCTATAATAATGAATTTAATATTATTTTGTTTTTGAAAAGTTGTTCTAGTCAGTTCTAGTTCCCTCTCTAATCAGAGATCGGACTCATGGGTAAAGAGACTCGAATCTCTTTAAAATATTGAGATCTTTACCCCCCCCCCCCTCTCCCACACACACACACACACAGTATGCCAGCCATAAAACGAAAACTTTTTTTAACGTAAAAAGCGTGGACTATCAACTAAGTTTATCACATATGCTTCAGCAGAAACCTTAGTACATGGCAAAATAAACTATCGTATTTTTAGGTGTGGAAAAAGTTGTTAATCCTGAAGGTCCTGATCAGGATAATGGGCCAAACTTTTTAAATTATTGCATTGTCATCAGTCCTTGATAAATGTGCAGTTTCAATTTAATCGGCGTTTTGAAGTGGGTCAATTCGAATATTCCGTTAAAAACATACACATACATACCTAGCTAAAAAAGCGTGTTAAAAAGCAGAAAATATGGCGATGATTGTTACATACATACGCTCTCGTCTTCTATCCCCAAAGGGATTACAATAAGAGGAAAACTTGAAAAAAAAAAGACTGTACTTACCAACCCGTCTAGCCAGCGTAGTATAGTAGACCAAAACTTCCTTGTTAAGGAAAAGCAGCCCAGCAGACGACTATTAGAGGCTGTGGATGAGATGAAAGAAAACCACCACGCCTGTGTAACTAACTGCTGTCTTTAAGCTTCCTATCACTGAAACAAATCCAATACAAATATCATGCGATGCAACTTCTTAACGCTATTAACAATATAAAACATCCACAAACAATAGCGAAAGAAAAACACAAAGCCCGTTTATTTAACACGGTCATGTTATAAAAAGGTTATCTTGAAAAATAAGTCATATTTAAACAACTTAATGCCTCCAGACACTTCATGGTTACAAAAGGCTGCGGCGCTCGCGACGATAATCCCGGCATAATGAACTGAGCATGCGGTGTCAGGTAGGACTTAATCCTTTATAATACCGTTCATCCTTGTAATTCCAGTTAGGATACTTGTTTGCCGCTTTAGGCTGTTATTACCTGACGTAGAAATGCCTACGCTGATTTACAATCACTTTACAGTATACAGCCTATATAATGTGTTATGGTGCATGTATCATTACTTGCCCTGACTGAGTCTTCAACGCCGAGCCTAAACAGCCGGAGCTTGGTTGTCTCTAATAATTGAGTTATTTATTGTAAATGTTCAATCGTAGAAAGACGTTTTGGTATGCTAAAAAGAATAAACACGCTAAAGATGTAAGGTAACGGTAGTTGTTTGCTATTGTAACAACAAAAGACTGGCATTCGAGTATTCTCGCCGCCATGGTATGGAAGTGCTCAATTTATAAACCGGAGCTAAGCTAACGAGTTAACTAAAACCGCGTAAGGTTCAGGATGGCAGCCCAAGGAACGTGCGCCGCAAGTCCGTCGCAGCCGCGCGGGCGATCGTCCGCAGCGCACATTACAAGAGGCTCTGCCTGGTTAACGACCGCGTGACGTCACGGGCTGTAGACCTTCTAACGAACGCTAGTGATCTCAATACAGTAGTAACATCACACTAAAGAATACACTTCCAACAGTATGTGAAAATGTTTGGTATATATACTTAGAACTTGTTAAAATATGACTTGCGCGATTTAGATGTTTCCTTAATAATTAGAGTATATCAAAGTTAATTTCAGTTTTTGCTTATACAACACATTTATGTTGTTATCAGACATGAAATGTATTAGTTAATTATTGAAAAAGATTACGTTTACTATATAGTTTTTTCTGTTTTTGATTATTTTACTGAAGCCATTGCCGACAGCGCCATCTAGCGTAGCGAATGTTAGTTAAACCTTGTAACATTCATAGGTGAGGTCACTGCGATGAAAGATTTTAGTGAGTAAACATTGTTTTGTTATAAATGTTTTTATTTGTATTGTTTCAGAATATCAAATAACGAAAGAGATGAAAGTCCGGGTACGGATGGCAACGTTTCACCAGAGCCACCTGACCGACCGCCCGGGAAAGTTCGGCAAGTGCATCCTGAAGATAAAACTCAAGTTCTTGCATACGATTCAACGTATCGAAAGAAAAACAAGCCGAAAAATCTTGATTTAGAAGAAAATCATTATAATCATTTAGCGAATACTAATGTAGCTATGTCGCCAATGTATCCGTTGACGCCAAATATTTGCGTAGAAGGTGGTAAGATTGAATTCATAAAATCGCCTGCAGGGAGCGCTCGAAACAGCATGGCGCTAGCGTCGCCGCCTCAAACGCCTTTGTTGGCACGACGTGGCTCTAGGGACAAACGCGAAGTCCGTATCTACGATGAGCCGACTGAAAAGTTCGACGGCGATAAGGTAGGTGGCGCTTTTTTAAATATAAGAATTAAAAGCATGTCTTATTTTTTTTGGTTATTTGCTTCGTGTAGTTTCTTATTTGATTGTAACGAACAGAATATGGAAAAACATTTTAATCTTTTTTCTAGTTTGTTTTTGCATACAACATTTTTCAATCTAAACCAGATTAGACAAACTCAGAACTGCTGCCATGTTCTAAAGATTCAGAGACAAAATTGGGGTTAAAACCGTAGTAGTAGTAAACCAGATTGTCTGCATCAACCACAAGTTTTAGGCTTTAATGAATTTTTTGTAATGTTGTCGACCAAACTCTCAATGGTTAAAATCCTTAGTAACAAGCGGGTGTCTCAAGTTTGACGCGCAATAAAACGAATTCTTGAGAAAACTTTGCAGTTTGGGACATATTCAATTTCAAAAGTCACCGGTGCAAGGGTACGCCACTTCGGACCATTGTCAGAAATCTTTCCAACTTAAAATTGTTTTCGTTACATTTCATACACATTTGAAATTTAGTTTTAGGCCTTTATCTTGAAAATGGTTTTATGTTCAACGGGTTTGTTTATCGTTTTGAGTTTGGAGTTATTTTCCATTATTTATGAAGAAGATCATCGAATGAAACTTCTTTCCCTTACCCTTTTAAAATACTTCTTGGTTGATAATCAGAAATTGTGAGAGAATAGGATTAGGAAACTTAAAAAATTTCAAACTTATTTGTAATTGTAAATATTTATTAGCGGTAGCGGTAAACTAATCTCGCTTTACGAGTCTGTTTGCATATTCGCTAACTTCGCCGAAACAACGCAACAGATATTGATTCAATATTTCACATTAAAACCTTATTAAGACTTTATGTAAGTATAAATCTTTAATGGATCCGACGTCGATTTTTTTAATTTGTATTTCGAAGGACGATACCGCGAAAAAAGTATGTATATCTAACTTTAAAATTCTAATTTGTTAAACGTCAAAATATGGGTACTATGGTTTACTGTTAATATATTCAGTAAAAGGAAATTCCCTTTATAAAGAATAAAAGCACCCCTCAATTTTTCAAAGCTTCAAAGAGTTTATGATAAAAATATTTTGATCAAGAAGTAGACAGGCAACCATATTCCACCCCTCATCCGTCTCTGATCTGGGGATGCTCACGTGTAATTGGACTGATGCAGTTTAATGCGTCTTTAGTCGCGTCTAAATTGTTTTCGAAAGCCTCTCGTATGGCTTTTTGTGATTGTCTTTTAAAGATTTAGGGATAAAACATTTATGATGACGTTGCTTCAAAGTTTTTTTATGATTTCCTATTTATTTATCAGTGCGATGTGTCTCTAGAAATAGAAGGGAAAAGATACACTTTTAAAAAGTAAAGTGAGTTAATGTAAGGCCTAATGGTCCCACCATTAGGCCTTACATTAACTCACTTTACTTTTTAAAAGTGTATCTTTTCCCTTCTATTTTTAAAAATCTTATCTATGGTAAGGGTATTTAGATTTTCTTCATTTCTAAATTTTGATTGACGATATTATGCGTTGAACTTTTTTTATTATGTCACAGTTATAGAGACCAAAATGTACTGTCGGTCGTCCAAGAAATTCTGATAGGTATACACAAGATCTATTGTAAATAGCAGTGTTAGAAAAATATTGCTAAAAATTAACCATGGGAACTATTGCCGCTTCACAATTACACTTGGGATGTAATGTTGGTAGGACAGCAAAGTAATTAGGCTGACTTCTTGAATGGGTTACAACCTGCTTGGAACTAACCAGCCAACAAGGGACAAAGAAAGAAAGGCATTTGTGACTAAGAGCGCAGTGGCTGGAAATGCCTTTACGTTCTGTGATACATCATCATCGTCTTAGCCGAAAGACGTCCACGGCTGGACATAGGCCTCCCCCAAGGTTCGCCACAACAACCAGTCCTGTGTTGCCCGCATCCATCCAATTTACGTACTAGCACACGCAGCATGGTAAGGCACACTACAATGGGTGCGCCGTCCTGGTGAAGGCTGCGGGAAGCTGTTGGATGCGGGCAGCACAGGACCATCCTGTGGTTGGTGTTTAAAAATTATTATTAGATGTTTACATTAGGTTTTTTGTTATGTAAGTTTATTTGACTTAGCTAATCAGGCTTTTTGTTAGCTGAATTGAAAATATATATAATCCTTATCATGTATGGAGATTTCGTATTACATTCTGAACGCAACCATTAATAGTTAAATTTAATTGAAAGCCATAGTATATCTACTTAGACAGTTATTCCATTGAGACATGCAAATGAGGACGTTAAATTGAATTAATTGCTGAGATTCTGCGAGCAAATCGTCCTTGTGGTGCCAATGAATTTATATTATCATACTTCATAATACCTTGCAATGGTCCAGGATATTTGTGGCTGCCTCTTGGTATTTGGAAGATTGAGTGGTTTCTTATGCTTAAAATATGAGACATTTTCCAACGGACGTTAAAACTAAATGATTTTATGATTAGCGGACTGTGACGTCACAAACTGGTACTTCATAGACGTCTTAACAAGTACGTTTATAGTTAATAAGGATTGATTTGATTTGGAGATGGATTCCCACTGTGGGTAATCTACTTGCCTTTGCTTTGCTTACAGTGGGCTTTTTTATGGTGTAGGAGGCAAACAAGCAGACGGGTCACGTGATGTTAAGTGACCAATGCTACCCATTCCAAATTGCACCTGCAGGCATTGTCTAACTTTATTAGTTTCTTTAGTGAACGCAGTCAGGGGTTATAATTAAATACATTATGGAAGCCTACGAACGCCCCCATAGGAGGCTTCTGTTCTTTTGGAAGGAGCTAGGTTGGATCACCAAGCCAAGGTTAATCACACGAAAAAAAACCGTTTTTGAGTCTAAATTTTCGAGTCGGATTGAGAGCCAATACTATAGCCCTGTCACTTGGTTAATTTATGACTCAAGTGTTCAAAATGGTGAAACTGGAACGAACAATTTACCTAGAATTATTCAAAGTTGAACGAACTAAAGTTGGGCTCAATCAAAATTCGCCGTAGCCAAAGCTAATACAATCTAATTTTACATAACTATAACTAAACGTAGATTTAATCACAAAGCCAGGAGTTCTATACACCGAGGAGGAGGAACTCTAAACTTTCAAATAACTACAATTATACAATACAGTTTAATGGAACCGAAATTTCGGTATTCGGTAAAATTTACATTCCGTAGTTATGACAACTTTTAGTTATAATATCTTGGACAGCATTTTATTGAGGTGTATACAATAACGTACCCGGTGGTATGAAATAATAGGGCTATTAAATAAGTATATATATATTTCTCCTGTACCTCGAAAATACTAGTGATTCATGTTGTATTTACAGAAGGTTTTGCATTTTAGTTTCGCTACATTATGTCTCTTGCCTGAAATAAGGCGATTTTGTAAAAACAAAACACTATCCAGAACTAGACTAAGCGTTACTTCTGTACATGTGTTATTCTATATATTTAAAATGTTCTATTTTCTTCTGAATCAATGCCATTGAAAACATCCACGCATTCAAATTATGTTAGTAATGAGAGGAGGAGGAGAGGAGGCATTTGTGTGTACAAAAAGTCTACAAACCAGATGCTCAGCCGAAAGCTCTACTGTTATTTTTTTATAAAATTGTTTATTTAATTAACGTTTTAAATACAAAAAGCATCGTAGACAATTAGTTTCCCCTAACTTGTGAATGCACTGAAGATCCGATCACGTATTTAAGTATGCAAATCGGTTTCCGATAATGCGGTGTCTGAGACGGTCCGCAGATTCAGGTACCCTGTTCACATCGTTAATGATAGCTTTATTAATATTAATGATCACCCCAAGGCCAATTTAGCTTCAGAAGTGGCGCTGAAGTGGCTGGTTAAAGTGAAATATTTAATTGCTATGAATTTATTTAAGGACAACGGTAGCTCGAAGGAATATTTCAAATCGCGAATGGGGAATAGGACTAAAATTGCAGTAGTTCGAAGAAGCTGGTCGGTTACACGTATCTCCGTGTTTAAGTTTGTCATGAAAACGGCGTGAGTGGTCTATGGAAAACGGGAAATGATGGCAGTGTAATACTTCTTTTTTTTTTAATTGCTGTAAATGAACTTTTGTGTACGATTTTCAAATAAATTTGCCCCTTAATATATGACACAGATAGGTTCCATTTTCAAAGTTCGAGTGTTTCATAATTTATATAGGTAGTGACTTGCGTGTAAAAGACAATTCAAAACATTTTTATTTTTATATGAAATAAAGATATTTTGAGTATTTGCTATTTGGTAGACGTTGATAAGACTATACTGCAGGCCATCTTTATATGCAATATAAATATATGGGCTTGCTCCGTTTCTGCCGTTGCCATCCGAGACGGAACGGCCCGGCATGAACAGAGCGGGCCTTTGCCCCATTTTAATATCTTCTAAATTATATGAATTTATGAAATATATATAATATTATTTATGAAAATATGAATTTTAATGATATGTGTGTTGTAAAGGGCAATTTAACCTACATTAAATGTACAACGTATCTAACTTGGATTTAATTGAATAAGGAATAACAACATATTGTTTAAAATAGCTTGTTAAATGATCCATTTTTTTTTAATTTAAAAGATAAAAATGATTACTGCGGTATTAATTATTAGGAGATAGATATATACTATCACATAGACATATATTTTTAACATATACAATGCAGTGGCGTACATTATTTTGGTTTATCTCGTAAGGTTTAGCCAGCGTTTGCAATGTAAGCGCACAAAAACATGTTTTCGGATTTTCTCGACTATAATGTGCATGTATTATACATTTAAATCTTCTTCTTTAATCACTCTCTATTGTTAAAAACCGCATTAAAATCCGTTGCTTAGTTTAAAGATCTAAGCGCACTATAGCAAAAAAGTGTCGGAAAAAAGTCTTGTTACACATATTTCGGTCTAGCTGCGTGTAACGTGCGATAAAGAACTTCGTTCCAAAATAACAG